TTTCAAATTTAACAGAATATACAGCAAACTTGAGTGTTACACAACAGCAAAGAGAGCACTTCAAAATGGAAGATGTCAACATAAATTTCCCCAAAAAATAGAAAATCAAAATAATAATAAAAAATAGCTTTTTTAACATCTGCATGATTTCAGAAATCAGTAGTTGAAAAAAATTATCTGGTATTGAACATAAGTAAAGAAAGGACAACTATATTGGCAGAGTTAGTTTAGCATTATGTAATACATATAAAGAATCTAGGGTGGGCTTTTGTGTAACTGGCTGTACTTTTCATGTTCTGCTCAGCATGAAAACAGGATACTAATCAGAAGTTTATCTTATGTTGTGGTCAGTGGCTTATTAATTGAAAGAAACTGAAGTATATCCTCACTGAACTTACATGTTTAGTAAGACATTGAAGCAGTGCTGACAAATTCACACAGATCCTCTCTGTTATTTATATGGCAATAATTTGCTAGTTTTAAGCAAAATTAAGAGTCTAGTCATCAGAGGCATTAAATATTGAAGATTGGAATGCAGTACACTATTTCATCCTGATGATTTTACAGATCTTACTAAGCACAAGGAATGCTAAACTTGCTAAATTTCCAGCTTTACAAATGGAAAGTGTGAGATATCTAACGTGGCAAACTGTGCAATGTGCTTTTATAAACAAGGAATTCTAAAGCTGTAGAATCTGAACTAACTGCTAAGTTTATAAATTGGAGGGGATTTTTTTCTTTTGTTTTTGTTTATGTTTTGTTGGTGGTGTTGTTTTGTTTGTTTGTTTTTCCAGCTGTGAAAAGTAAATGGCCGAAATCATGAAACCAGCATTAGCTTTTCTCTGCTTGGGTTTTTATACAAGTTTTTAATACAATTTTTTTTCTGATCAGTATCCTAGTGAAAGAGAAGTATTGTAGTCATTCAGATATGTGGTGAGGAACAAGCTTTTTGATCAGGTAGGGATAAATAACAATTTATAACTTCATCTGATTCACAACATTTTATAATACTACATGCTAAAATTAATTTCATTAGCAGGTCAAAATTGGTGCTTAAAACCTTGAGGTGTATACTATGAGCCATGAAGTTTTTGTGGCAAATAAATTTATTATTTTAAGCAATCAGATCAAAATTATCAATTGCAATTGTTCTCTTTTCTCTGTTTTCCAGGCATTTATGTAAATAAAACCTAAAAATACAGAAATAAACCCAACTAATATAAACTAATATAAACTAATATAAAAAAAAATTATGTGAAACCATAGTTCCACATAATTTAATGTCATAAACCACTCTTTTGTACTGTTGCACAGAACCCTATCTCATTATCATATGCCTTTGGCAAAAAAGCATTTAGAGTAAGCTAAATATTTCATGTAGAAATGTTCTTTTTTATGTGTGTCAGTGGCAGAAAACAAAAAAACACAACACATGAGAATACATTTCTTACATCAAGAATCACAGTGATTGGTAGGCCAAAATGCGGGTAACCTTCACTCACACATCAAACAGAACTTAACTAACAATGTAGAAATAAAATGTGCATACCTACCACCATTTTTCTTCCAAATTATTGTCTTTGGGTGTATAAATATAGTAACATAATTATAGTCCAATTTTGCTCAATGCTCTTTTATTTCTCATTATGTTAATTAGAAAATAATGTTATAAATTACATGGAAATGAGTAATTGATTAAGAAAATCCACATCTAGATCTACAGTGTTTTACTTATATTACTGTACTCACACTTTCAGTGGTACTATTTTGGTTCCAGTCAGAAATGTATACCAAAAGCAGATCTGTATGAAAAGTCAAAGTTTGAATACTCTGTGTTTTTTGACATATGGGTTTCAATCTTTAATTTTCTTATAACTTACGTTTAAAATAGTGCAATAAAATCTCTGATTTATCCACCTTAAGACTTTTGGATTTGCAATCAAAATAGAAATTTCTATTTCTTTTTACTCTATCAAGATGGAAAGCAGAATGATAGAATATGAACTAATATGACTGACCAAAAAAAAAAGGAATAATTCTGGAAAGGCTGCTTTGAGTTTTGCTATATTAATATTCTACGTTTGGAGCTTCCACTCTCCCAAAATCTAAAGATGCTCTTGTGTTCATAAGAGAACCAATTAAATTATTTTGTGCATCTCTGGGGAAAAAAAAATGATACGTCAAACCTGTGTATGATCTCAGAGGTCTTTTCCAATCTTAATATTTCTATATTTCTATGATTCTATGATTTTTAAAGCCAATTGCATTCCATAAAGCATCACTGAAAAGATGAGAGTGCACTTAGCAATCTTATTTGTCACTGAAGACTACGAATCAATTTCACTGAGGGTGATACGCTACTGATATGTATTAGTTTGGATTTGACAGCATTTTGGACACTACTAAACCAGTAAATTCTGTTCTGCTGTGACATTAGGATGTAGCAACCAGTTCCTGAAACCATAAAAAGGACACAGTTTAAGATATGTCTAAACTGTTTCTCAGCAATCTTAACTTCTCTCTTCATTTAGAAGCTGAATTAATGTTACTATAACCCCAGTATTTTTTCATGTGACCTGTATTTAGCTTGCACTTTCTGTGTGTACTCTAATCTAAATTATTCCAGTATAAAGAAAAACAAACTCGTTTACAGAAGAATATACATGTAGAACATGATACAGTTTCTGGAGAGTTTCGTGATTTATGCAATGATTGAACTATATATATATATATATATATAATTTTATAATGTGTCTGCAAAATTTGACCCCTAATTTGAGACTTACGGATTGTTATACTGAAAAAACAAACAAACAAACAAAAAAGTTAATGTTTTGCTTGTAAATATAATGGTATTGCTTTCCCCCCTGTGAAATAGTACAAGTCAAGTCTGTTTTTTATTGTATGTTTTTTTCTTCCACACTATATTACAGCTTTAAAATTCTGAAATTATAATACCACTGTTTTTAAAAATCCTTGAAAAATATCCATGAGACCCTTGTGAGTATTTGTCTTCATTTGCATTGTATATGTTTTGTGTAGAATAAATGTGTCTCCATTGCCTTGGAGATGCACTGCAATTGTCTTAAGCAGTGTATTTCTCTAATTCAATCAAAAAGATATTTGAATGCCAGTGTAATGAATGAAAATAATTCAGTATGATGTGAAACCACCTTACACTAAAAAAGATTCTGTAACTGTGTTCTGCTAACATACTTAGGGAAAGAAAAGCCTTTAGGATATCTGTCAGATGACATATTTTACACCTTAAATAAAAGACAGAATAAAGCCATGCCACAATAAAATCCAAACTTGAAATAGAACTCAACACTTGTGTACCAGTACGTAAATACTGCCTGCATAAGAGCAACCCACAGGAAGAACTTGTAGTAGGCTTCTTGCTTTTTCCTAATACAAAACAAATGTTTTGAGAAGGCCAGCAAACTACTGCAGTACAGTACAGGAAGGTTAGCATTGTTAGGTGAGTAAGAAGCAAGCATGCTTCCTGCTTTTGCCTGCATGCAGTAGGGAATTCACTCAGAGAAGAAGTCTATGGTGATAACTACTATATGTGCAATATCTCATATTGTGTATTTACAGAAGGAAGCTGTGTTAAGAGATCTGGGATTGACTTTAGTCCCCATTTTTGAAGGGAAAAAAGTAGAAAACAAAATAATAGTCCTACACTTATAAACATTATTAGATATTGAGAAGTATTCTGTAAAAAAAGTCTGAAAATTTAAAAAAAAAAAATCATTTGCCTTGAATTCATTTGGCTTTTGTTGTGCATGTTCTTACTGAGGAGATATAAGTGCTTTTTAGGGCTGCAAAGGAATTTGGTATTCAATTTAATATTCAGTTCTTTACAAACGTAACTTATTCATGATTAATAGATTTTTTAAATAATAATTATTTAATGTCCAACATATTATGGATGCTTATACCATTATCATAACACTATTAGTACTTTTTTATGGAATTGATGCCTGTAACCATTAATAACATTCATCCTTTTCAACAGAGCAATACATTTATTAATCATGTGTTAATCTGTTATAACATACATATGGCATAATCAAAGTAAATGCATGATATTTACTCAAGTGATGTATTTCAAATTCTAAATCTAATTTTTATAATAGAGCATTATTAAGCACTGAGATTTAGCATGCAAGTTGTCTAAGTACTCATGTCCTTGGTGTGACAACATTTCAATTAGAGTAGCTCTGACTATTTTTTTGTTTTGTTTTGTTTTTATTTTGGTAACAAGCTTAAAACATACAGCTACGTTTAGAAAAATAATATGCACCATTGTTTTTATAGCTTTCTTTGAAAATATATATAGCCAGGGAAAATATTCATGCTCAAAATAAGCGCTTCACACATTTTAGCATTTTCTCTCCCCCTTATAAATAACACAGTCGTTTGCCAGTATCTCTTTTATTTTACAAGGGAATATTCTGTAGCTAGTAGATAATTCTTTTTGTTACAAGGCAATGATGGAAACAATTTTATAGAGAATGCTTTGAAGTTGAAAATGTTTGAATTTGTTCCTCTTGGTATATTGTTCCACTTAATAACATTGCTGTTGTTGTTTTTTGTTGTTTTTTTTTTTTAATTAAAAAAAAAAAAAAAAAAAAAAAAAAAAAAAAGAAAAAAAGAAAACAGACAAGAAACAAAAGCAAAACAAAGCAGAAAACCTTCTGGGACTGAAATACTTGTATGTGTTGTTATTTGCAGTGCATGCCAAGACATTCATGGGCACCAGAGCCAACCTGGCGAGCTAATTAAATATATAAATGTGTATGTTTAAAACAGCCTTATAAGGAGCATTGGAAATCTGCAAGATGAGCGAATATCTTATAACTTCTTCCGCAGGTGCGAGGATAGCTACAAGCCATGGACTTTCTGTCCTGCTTCTTGTTTGTGGCTTTGTGAAGGGTGCTTTGCTTTAATCTAAAAGTGCTGACTTTTTCCAATATCACTTTCTCTTCTTAAAGCAAAGAGCAAATCGCCTGTAAAATCCACGGAGCGGACAGCAAAGTTGACCCTAACCTCCAACCATCACTCTGCACCCAATGTACTCTAAATCTCTACACAAGGAGCACCTTCTTCAGGAAGTACAAACAAAAATACTAAATAAATAAATAAATAAATAAATATTATAGAAGGAAGAGGATACCACATTTTCTTGATATATCTTATTTTCTTTGGAATATCACTGATCTTTTGTTTGAAGAGAACTGGTGTGATGTAATCAAATGTTTCATAACAGAAGACCTAGTTTCCTTCTCTTTTGGCGAGGAGAAGCCTCATCCTTGACTTCTCGGGGGTTAGTCTGCGAGTCATCAGTATTGTAGAATTAACCATGGATGACATTTGGCTTCCTACGCTAAAAGAATTGTTCAAGCCTAGAAGCGAACAGAGGACAAATAATGAGATGAAGAATACTGATTCAACATCGACCCCCCAACCCATCCCACAGACTCTGCCAAAAAGTGTGGGTTTTTTTCTTTTTCCTTTCTTTCTGTCTTTCTTTCTTTCTTTTTTTTATTTTTATTTTTATTTTTTTCCCTGCATGAGGAATAGGAAGCAGAAAAGAAATTCTGCAGAGCATCTAAGCAGACCAGAGGACTTCCTTTTTTTGAAAACAAATGAAAATAGATCGTTGTTATTGTTGTTATTCTTTTTCCTCTGTGGGTTTTTTTTTTAGTATGTTTCTTGTTCAACAGTGGCAATTGCTGACTTAGGCCAACCCCTGATGACTGTGTGGAGGTTTATATATATATATATCTTTCTTTTTCATGTGTGTTCTATATTTCAATGTGTTTTCTATTATTTTGCAACTTCTGTATATGCAAAACTAACTTAAATTCTGTAAATTGCTTACAGTCTGTGTGATATAACTTCCAAGTAGATATACTTTGGTCCTCATGCAAGCCAGTTTTTAATATTATCTGTATGATGTGCCACCAACAAACATCTTTCTTTCTTTCTGTCTGTCTCTTTTTTCTTTCTTCTTTTTGACAAACCATCTCTTTTTAATTTGTAATTCTGTACTGTGTGGATTTTGTAATACCTGCCTTCACTTCCACTGGTTTGACAACATTCAACACTCTGTTTACTCTGTAAATGCACATTAAAATTTGTTATGGTCTCTAGACAATGAATTACTTTAGTTTTGTGTATGTTGTACTGGATTTCAGTTGCTGAAAGCTCTTTTAATTTGTGATGTTTATAGCAAATGAAGTGATTTTATCACTAGAGACTGTAAAATGCAGGCTTAATGTCAAATACTGCATGTGAAGTAAGGTTAGAAAAGGAAAACAGAAAAATAAAACATAATATGGCTTAAAGAATATTCTTTCATCAAAGACTGTTAGGAAAGTGAATTCTTTACACTGATTAACTGCATTCACAGAAAAACAACTCCTTTTACATGGCCAAAGAATCATCTTTCTTTGCTTTTTCTGGAAGTGAATTGTCATTGCTCATTGATATTCTTAATTAAAATACTTTATGTCTGTGAACCGAACATGAAAATTTTGCTGTTGACTGTAGCAATATGCATTACATGAATTGCATTCATTAATGCAGGAAAGAAAAATTGCTTCCATTTGCAGCTGCAATCAGGAAGGAATTTTTTTTCTTGTTCCCTCCTTCCACTGATGCTGAACAATCCAGACACTGCCATTTATCAGCCCAGACAATCATGTATATCATGCGCTTATTATGATCTGTTTACAACAGCATTAAGTAGCTGCAAAATGGTCAGCTGTGTGATTTCTCCAGTTTTGAAGTAAAAAAAAGAGAAAGTAAAAATTATATTTAATATCTCACCAGTCTATGGTTTAAAGTCCTAACATTTTACTTCAAAATGTCCATAAGGACCCATTCTTACACATTCATAAGTCTTCCGCATTAATTTCATAGGAGAAAAAAAAGCAACTAAGTATAATGCAGAATCAGAGAGTAACACACTGATGCTTTGGAAGAGGGTAACATATTTGTGCAGATCTAGTTTACCTTCCCCATGTCTTCAGTACTATAAGTTTGACAGAATAGTCAGTTATCAGTTTTATAGAAAATCTCAGCATAGATAGAGACTAAAAGTATGAACTAATAGACACAAAACAGAATGACTGCTAGAAGAAGGAAAGGGACAAAGTTCTTTTATTTCAACACCAAATTCATGATTCATTAAGAATATTGTGTATTCAATAAATCTTCCTCATTTTCTTAACAGTTTATTAGCCTGCTGATAAAGCTGAATGAATCCCTGTGCAAAAATTTGGATTGAAGACAAAAAGGAAAAAAGAAAAAAAAAAAAAAAAAAAAAAAAAAAGAAAAAAAAAAAGCCAGAGCTCATTGAATTTTCTTTCTTGTAATACATCAGGTTCTGAACCAAACTTTCAGAACACATTTTCCCTGTGCAGTAGATATCTACGAAAAGATGCTCTGAGAATCTCCCATATGGAGTTTGGAAACATAAGTTTCCACCAATCTCAATAGCAAACAAACGCTTAATATCATATATATTTTGTATAAATAAAATTATATATATTGTATGAATATTCTGGTATGCACATATTCATACAGACAATGCTCAGTGACAAAAACAGCTTTATAAATGACATTTTTCATAAGTAGTTTAGCCACACATTATTAAAGTTAGCCTCTGATTATTATGTTAACTTGATAATGTGTTTTGGTTAATACTAGATGTAAATTGCCATGTATTAGGAAATGAGACCAAAAAGAACCAATTGAAATTAAAAGTTGGATTCTAAATTGCTCAGACTGGAGTGATATAACAATTTAGAAGACATTACCAGGGAAGTGCCATACTTTGATGTTGCTATTTTTCTTCAGGTGTCAGCATAAAAATGGATAAAGAGAAGAATGATGGAAAATCAGTGGGACTTTCAAAAGGCCTTTGAATCTTGCATGAGATACTAAGGGAAAATACTAGTTTTCTTTTTCCAAATTAGACAAGTCCTGCCTATAGACATTGGCTTTACAGCTTCTGTCAAATTCTACAGATGTCACAGCATCAGCTCCTAACAAAAGTAATTATAGTATTTTAAAATTTTATGCTGTTGCTTAAGCATTGTTCTTCAAGTTAGGAATCAGCCTTTAGCAAGAAGGAATTCTCAAAAAGGAAGTTAAGCCACAGCATCCTCTCTTCTACATGCAGCTTTTGTTAGGAATATTTGATGTAGTAATAGAACAAATACTATTTTCAACATTGGCTCCAGTTCCATTTTGGGCTTAACACTAACAAAAAATAAATAAATACTTAAAAGTTCCATTGAGTTAGGTACTTGAAATCATCAGTTTACATTTAATGGTAGATATATCTTTCAAAAGCCAATGTCCTTAATGTTTCTACAAAATAAACAAACGAATAAAGAAAGAAATAAAAAATCTATTTTTGAGGAGTCATTTACTTTATTCATGCTTGTTTCTTGGCGTTCTCAAGGCCTCACCCTTTATTTGATTTTCTTCGCATTTTTCCAACAGCTTTTGTTTTTAATAGAAGAGTAAGCATGGGTGAGTATGAAACGTTTTTGTATTTCAAGGAATATGCCATCTAAACACAGAACACATGTTGAACTGTTATATCTTGTGAAACTGAAAGAAACGTATTACAGATCCATTACATATAATCAGTGTTCTACTATTTCATCTAGCTTTTGTATTACACTTACAAAAATCTCTAGCACTTGTGTAATACTAATAAAATTTAGTATTGCTACAGAGCCTGTCCTGTAAATTCTCCTCTGGTTCAGTGGTTACCAATTTTCTTCTGAACTCTGGAACTTCATGTCTGCAATTTGTTGAGTAATATGTTTAAAACTTCCATTCTTAATGGTCTCTTCTGGATTCTTCAAATAAATTTATTGAGCAGATGATTGGGCACTCCATAGTTTAAAAAAAAAAAGACAATCTGTGTTAGGACTGACTCAGACTTTGTGTTAAGAAAGATACTGGAAAACTTGAAAGGTAAACATTGAATCTATCCTGAATTGTTGTTATTTGTTTAATTTTCAGTGTTGAATACTTCAATTAGGGCATACACAAACACAAATATTGGAACTATGTATAAACATTAGAGGCACAACAGCATGTAATTGAGTGCCTCTGATTCGAGATCAGAAAACATCTGAGAACTGCTTTTTCTTACGTTAATTCCTTAAAGTGTTTTTGTTTCTTTTAAATAAAATAGAGTAGTGGCAATTACTTAAAAATAAGTCTTACTGCATACCTAATACATTTCAGTGTTGAGCATTTCTTTCCCAAGTAATGATTTCTACAGTAATGTCATCATTTAATTCACCGCTAAAAACAAAAAGTAGACTGCATTGCTACCAATCCTCAACATGTTCATGTTCTCAAAAAAAACCCAAACCAACAATGAAACAAAACAAACAAACAAAAAAACCTAAAAAACCCAGTTTAAAATCTTTGTTACCTGTAAGATGGGGGACATTTGTCCCTGACATTACTATTGGCAAATGTCAAATGTTGTTTACAGAGCTAAGAGCATTAAGAACCAAGAATGAGATCAATGTACTTTAGAATATAAAAATTTAAAGGTTAATCTTCCCTAATTAGCTTATCTAAACAATACCAAGCACGAAGTAAATTGCTTAATGCAAGTTATTATAGATAGCTTTCGTTCTGAGCTTCCTCAGTATTGTTTTATTTGATTTCACAGTCATAAAATTTGCACATACATTAATGTAGTTGAAAGATTGTATATAGTTCTGCTTTTCTTCTAAACAATAGAGGAAAACAATAGCAAAGAAAAAGGCTAAATTTGTCTGTAAAAATGAATCACAACCAACTACTGAATTACTTTAAAAGAAGGAGAAAAGTTATGTTTTCTTGAGGATCAACTGTAACTGAAATCTTGTTTTATTTTCTCCTTTTTGTGCTTTTCTTGCCAACACATCAGTCTAAAAAACACATCAATAATTCGTTTCTGATTACTCAGTTCTTACAGTGTTACTGAGGGCAAAATGATGCTTTCTTTGCTATTAAAAATCTGAAAAAAATAAAATCTTTTAATTTAGCAAGCTAATT